GCCAGTGAGCGGGAACTGGTCTGTATGTGGGATCCGAACCCTCGGCGGGAGCACCGCTGCATTCCCAAGCGGCGCACTGTAGCAGTGCGCCACCGGGCCGGCCCATTTTCCTCATTTTTGTTTGTTTGTTTTTTGCATTCTGTCATCCAGGTGGTTAGCACCAAGAGTTAGTAGTTCAATTCAGTAAGTATTTCTTGAGCATTGACTATAGTAGAAGGCACTATGAGGAGAGCAAGGTCATCTTGTCACTGGGAAGGAAAGAATCAGAGGGCCTGGATAATCCATGTCTGACATAGTAATCCCTAGAACCGTCTCCATTTTAATGAGTTAATGTATACAAAGTGTGCGGGCACAGTGCCTGTTATATATAAATTGTTAATATTTCTCTTTTTCTGTCTTTTAGGTATCCAGACAATTGACTCTACCCAGGCTCTGTTTCTTCCAATTGGAGCATCTGTCTCTCTTCTAGTAATGTTCTTCTTCTTTGACTCAGTTCAAGTAGTTTTTACAATATGTACAGCAGGTAAATGAGTTATTCTGTCTATTATGTGTTAAAGGAAAATTTTTCAGCTTTTTTTTTAATGGCTTTTTCTCCCCCCCCTCCCCCCCAACCACCTCCTACTTGAACAGATATCATCTGTTCAGATCTGTCAACACAATCTGAAAGAAGGCCCAGGACTGGTCAGTTAGCTTACTAGGGAGAGCATGGTGCAGGTAACACCAAGGTCAAGTGTTCAGATCCTCATACTGGCCAGTCACCAAAAAAAGAAGGGCGAGGGATTTGAAAACTCATGAGCTTTATGACACCAGAGCAGTATTGCTTTGGCTTTGACTCCTTTTCTGGTAGAGTACCAGAACGTCTAGCTTGGCATGGTGGTCATTGGCAACTCCTACCAGTGTTTCTGCAGCTAGAAACCTTGATAGCTAATCAAGGTGATTCGACCGTCAGCTGTCTGTTTTCAAGTGAAGCAATGATGGAAATGTAAAATAATCAGAATGCTACAAGACTTGTTGGGATATCATCCCCTGGCCTGCTCTTTATCTTTTTCTTGTTGAGATAGGGAGAGAAAGAGAGAACCTGCCTATGCTTACTGCTACTTCAAATTAGGTTCCTTTTTTTTAAATAGAGGTTATCTGTGCAATGCTAAAGATATTTTTCTTCTCTAGTTAATTGATTTAATTGTATCCACTTGTCAAGAAAAGTATTCTGGGAAATTACTAAATTCTATATCGTGCCATTTTTCTTATAATTGGTAATATATGAACAATAACCAAAAATTAACCATCCATATTCTTCCTCTAGTTCTTGCAACGATAGCTTTTGCTTTTCTTCTTCTCCCGATGTGCCAGTATTTAACAAGACCCTGTTCACCTCAGAACAAGTAAGGACTTGGAACTTTCCTCTAAGTTATAAACTTGTATATGTTTTTCTCTCATACTTGATAGCATTATTAGTAGTCTAAATGTCTGGAATTGACTGGAGTGTACAAATGCCAGAAAACTGGGACATGAGATGTGTGATCTTTAAAACTAGAAGAGAGTACTTCCTTTTGTACCTTTTCATGGCAGAGGAAATATAAACAGATCTTAGAAAGTCAGAGTCATTGTAATATGCTTCCTGCATAGATTATTGAGAGGTGAGCAGTTTTCTTTTGAAGTAGGGTTTTCATTCTTTTACTAGTGAGTTACTGCAATATGACAGTGGTGTTTGGACTCATACATTCTTCTTTGCCTTTGGTGATTTAGATGTGCTAGCCACTTGCATTTAATCCCAATGTTCACGCCTTAACTCCTAAAGCCATTTCTCCGTGGAAACAAAATGCTATGCTAATGCAAATGCTGCATGCACCTAGGAAACCAGTCACTAGTGGCAGCTGATATTCCCAGCAATTAGTAATAACCAAGTAGATTTACCATTTATAAATACGTATTCATCTTTGCTAAATGAATTGAATTATTGACTTTCTTCATTTTGTTTTCCTCATAAGAATAGAATTTCTCCAGTACTTAGCTTCTCCAGAGATTGATATTATCACTTTAAACTTCTAAATACCTTTGTTGATAATTTGTCTAAAAAGTACATTATCAAATGGGTGATGTATAATTCCTCTGAGCTTTCCATAGCTTACTCCAAAGAGGTTTAGATATTTTGGATTTCCAGGTATCTAGATATTGCCTACTATTCTAATCCAGCCATCATGAACTCTGATCATGAAGAACCAAAAGAGAGTTTGCTTACAAAATAGTGTGTGTCCGTCCATCCAATAAGTGTTGTGTTTTCCAGGATTTCCTTTGGCTGCTGTGGGCGTTTCACTGCCGCTGAGTTACTGTCATTCTCTCTGTCCGTCATGCTCGTCCTCATCTGGGTTCTCACTGGCCACTGGCTTCTCATGGATGGTGAGTAACTAATATGTGACAAATTGTCATTTTACTTATTATATTTTTATAGATAATTTAGGACATTCACAGAGGTGTACAGCCATCACTACAGTCAGTTTAGGGCATCACCCACACCCCAAAACCCATATCCATTAGCAGTCATTTTCCTTCCTTCCCAGCACCAGGCATCCACTATTCTGCTTTCTGTCTCTATAGATTTGCCTCTTCTGGACATTTCACATAAATAGAATCATACTGTAGGAGGGTACTTCAAAAAAAGTTCATGGAAAGATTCATACTATCTTTTAATTCTATTTTTGCACAAACTTTTTGAAGTATCCTCATGTGTGGCCAGTGATTTCAAGGTACATCCTGTTTAGCCTGTATCAGTACTTCATTCCTTTTTATGGCTGAATACTATTCCATTCAGCCATAATGGGTATACCAATTTTATTTATCAATTCATCAGTTCTCATTTTTTTGGCTATTACGAATAATGCTTCTGTGAATATTCATGTATAAGTTTTTGTGTAGACTGTACTTTCTTATGTAAATGTTTTTAAACTTTTTCTATTATAAATAACCCTGAGGTAAACATGCTTGTTCCACCTCTTGGTATACATGTCAGATTATTTATTAAGATTATGTTCTAAAGCTGAATTCCCAGACATGCAATTCCTGGAACAAAGGGTTTTTGTATTTAAGTTTTTTGTATCTATTACTGTACTGACTTTCAGAAATACACTCCTACCTATATAGCATATGAGAATTTTCCTTCATTGATAATAATTAATGATGAAATAATAATGACAATAATAGTTAAGATTTATTGAGTATTTTTTATACACTGGGTACTCTGCTGGGTGTTTTACATGGATTATCTCATTTAATCCTTAAAGCAACTCTTTGATGGGCTGGCCAGTGACTCACTTGGGAGAGTGTGGTTCTGGTAACACCAAGGTTAGGGATTCAGATCCCCATACCGACCAGTTGCCAAAAAACAAACAAACAAAAAAAGATTTAACAAAATAACTCTTTGAAATAAATACCATTACTGTTCCCATTGTGCAGAAGAGGAAACCAAGGTTCAGAGAAGTCACAGAACCCTTGTATGTATTTCGTACTTAATACCAAAACACCTTAGAAGGATATTTCCAAAAATCTCCCATAATTCTTCTAGTCTTCCCCTTGAGATTTTTATTTTTTATTTTTGTTTTTTTGGTAGTGGAAATCACGATTTAAATATTGGGTGTCTCATGTTTTGCTTTGACTTACACTGTTTTCTTGGAGCCAGTCATCTAAGGGTCAGACAGCCTATCGGGGACTGTACCAAATATGGAACACTTCACAAATTTTATATGTTGCCCTTGCACAGAAGTTGTGCTGATCTTTGTATTGTTCCAATTTTAGTTTATGTGCTACTGAAGTGAGCACCCACTGAGATGTTTTAAAACTTTCCTTTATTTAAGACCCGGTAAGCCTATCTCCACCTCCTTGTTCATACATTGTTTACTCTCATTTTCACAGTTTTCTTTTCTAATCTCAAGAAATTTCTGTTCTGCCACACAAAATCTGTTTACCTTTTCCTTTCTTTTGGTGATTCAGAAAAGGAGGTTTAATATAAAGGCAGTGAATTTTATACTATTCGTAATACTATTTAAGGAATTTTTAAGGGAAATATTTGAAAATCAGAGATCACAGGTATGGACTTCATCTATACCCATTACCCATTCCAAGCAACCACAAGGCTAAGGTAGACCTTGGAAACAGAGCTCTTTGGAACCACTGCCACATCTGAGAAGCTCCTGTGCACTCTGCCAAGCAGTGTTTCCCTACACCTCTGAGGCTGGCTCAGCTACAGCAGAGCTGTCATTCACTGTTGTCTAAGCCCAGAGCCACCCAGAGTGATGCTTCCTGTTCAGGCCACAAGATCAGGAGTAGCTAAGTTAGTCGAACAATTTCTAAGTACCGATCTTACAGGATATTTCTGTGACTAATCTTAAGTTTGCTGAATAGTATTTGGTACATTGTTTTTTAGTGGTGTTTTTATATTTAAAATTTTTAAAAAACAGTTGCATTGAAAAGGTGAATCAACTCAAAACCAAGGATGTTCCTGTTTATGGTCAAATTGGTTAGAATTTGACAAAAAAGTTTGTAAACTATTTCTTTTGTTTGAGAATCAGTATTATATCAGTGGACTCAGGAAATATTCAATGAAAGGGAAATATGTTATAATATATTCTTAATAAGGAAGAAATTTTAAGCCTTAAGGAAAACTAAAAACTTTTCCTTCTGCTTCAAGGGAATTTTTTTCCCTCATAAATAACTTTGACCAGTACAAGGATTTGAAATTTATATGTGCCGAGTTAAAATCAGTAAAAAGCTATAAGAAACTGAGTATTATCAGGAAACAAACTATGGAGTGGGTTGCAAGCTCTGTAAAATTATATTTAAATGCGTTTATTATCTTAATCAAAGGTGATATTTATAGTGAAAGCACTTTTAACATTGTAAAATATACAAGTTATGCTTATTATTTTAAAATGTATATTTTTTGCTCAAAAAGACAAAATTATGGTAATGGAGAACAGATCAGTAGTTGCCAGGGGTTATGTGGGGAAGAGAGGTGATTGTAAACAAATCGCAGGAAGGATTTTTTGGGGGGTGATACATCTCTATGCTGAGTGTGGTGGTGGCTCTACAAATCTATGCATGTGTTAAAATTCATAAAACTGGTGCATATAAAAAACTGTCAATTTTACTGAAATGTTAAACATATATTTTTATAAATATGTACATTTGTTTTTGTATATTTATTGTCAAAATAGTTGTTCAATGCTTTTTTTGAATACCTACCATATACCAAGTTAAGATGCAAAAACAGTTCCTCGCTGTTGCAGACCAAGTTACCCTTTAGACTTAGAGACCTTTAATGACTAAGAATGGGAAGGAAAAGTTGAAATCACCAGTGCCTGATCTGTGCAGTAATTCACCTTTGATTCTGACAGATTTAGTGTCTTGTTATGTCATCTTACATTGCTTTATAAAAAACATGTACTATGATCATTTGCTTCGGTGCTTGAGTACCCACTATGCATATAAGCATTCTGAAGTGCAGTGGTTAGAATTTTAAGTGGTCATCAGAACTGCTAAACTTTCCAAAGCAAGTATTAACACTTTCAGTATTCTTATGATTTGTGTTTGATACGTCAATGCTCTAGAAGTTGATAAAGAATGTTGAGAAAAAAATTACATTGAGTCACACAACACATTGCTTGCTCAGCTTATAGTTAAAGGGTAAAGCTTATAGTTAAAGGGTAAAGCTTATAGTTAAAGGGTGTCGTTAAGAGTGATGAAGTGGCAGATATGTGCATTAGACTTTTCCTGAGATTAAATATTGATTTATGCAGAATGATTTGTTGAATAAAAGTAGGGGTCGTTAAGAGTGATGAAGTGGCAGATATGTGCGTTAGACTTTTCCTGAGATTAAATATTGATTTATGCAGAATGATTTGTTGAATAAAAGTAGGGAAGTGAGTGAGTAGGGGATTTGGAAAGACTAACAGAACCTAATCTCTTTTTTAAATATGTAAAATAGACTATTAAGGAGTCTTGATCATGATGATAATTGGAGCAGAATAATGAATATTGGCCTAAATCAATCTCATGGCTGCTTTTAAGATTATATCCTTAAATCTCACCTAGTCCAGTAGCTTCCTGATGAGGAAGCAAGCAGCACAGATATTTCTCCTCTACTACTTTAGAACAAAAACTATTTAGAAATGTTGGTCAATTGGTTAAAATCTAAACCATATTATTTCAGTCCATATAATTGTTTGGATGACTGTGAACTCCATATTCTTAAAAGAAACTGCTTTATGATGTTATCTTTAAATGAAGGGTTGCAAGCCGACCCCCATAAGTAATACACTTAAGTCCACCTACACAAATGTTATGTGAAATGAGAGGATTAAAGCTCCAGGTGCCTACTGGTTTAACCAAAGTACTATAAAGCAATAATCACTTAGCGGGATCAGTGTCAATGCTAGCAGACTCAACGTACCTTGAAGTCTCTCGGCCCCTGTAGGGTCTAAGGTTCTCAGTAATCCCACTACTGACTTTTTGGTGTCTCTCCTTTCATGGATCTCTTTATCCATGTTTCCAGACACACGTGATACTATTTACATGTTTTGCTGGGGGTTTTAAGTGCTTAACTAAGCTACTGACTCACCAAAGATTAGATCTCTCTCAAAACAGTAAGAAATGTGTTCTTTATACTNCCTCGCTGTTGCAGACCAAGTTACCCTTTAGACTTAGAGACCTTTAATGACTAAGAATGGGAAGGAAAAGTTGAAATCACCAGTGCCTGATCTGTGCAGTAATTCACCTTTGATTCTGACAGATTTAGTGTCTTGTTATGTCATCTTACATTGCTTTATAAAAAACATGTACTATGATCATTTGCTTCGGTGCTTGAGTACCCACTATGCATATAAGCATTCTGAAGTGCAGTGGTTAGAATTTTAAGTGGTCATCAGAACTGCTAAACTTTCCAAAGCAAGTATTAACACTTTCAGTATTCTTATGATTTGTGTTTGATACGTCAATGCTCTAGAAGTTGATAAAGAATGTTGAGAAAAAAATTACATTGAGTCACACAACACATTGCTTGCTCAGCTTATAGTTAAAGGGTAAAGCTTATAGTTAAAGGGTGTCGTTAAGAGTGATGAAGTGGCAGATATGTGCATTAGACTTTTCCTGAGATTAAATATTGATTTATGCAGAATGATTTGTTGAATAAAAGTAGGGAAGTGAGTGAGTAGGGGATTTGGAAAGACTAACAGAACCTAATCTCTTTTTTAAATATGTAAAATAGACTATTAAGGAGTCTTGATCATGATGATAATTGGAGCAGAATAATGAATATTGGCCTAAATCAATCTCATGGCTGCTTTTAAGATTATATCCTTAAATCTCACCTAGTCCAGTAGCTTCCTGATGAGGAAGCAAGCAGCACA